GAGAGGGAGAGAGCAGCGCTGACTTGATGCCCGCTGTGATGTCGCCAGCCTTGCCCTGGATAGAGGATGCCCTGGATAGAGGATGCATGGAGTGGATGGGACAAATGGACAACACAGGTGGGTTGGAGCACAAGGGCATAGATACTGTCATACACACTCGGTCCGACCACCGAGAGAGGTCTGCTCCGTCTTACCTGGTGCGCATAGATAGTGTCGTACACTAGCGTCCAACAGATGCCGCCCATGTACAGTGGCAGCACAGCTGGCAGGTGCAGAGAGCCGTGCACTGCCGCCCAGCCCAGAAGAGCCCCCCAGTTGAAGACAAGACCGAGATAGGCCTGAGGCTGGGTGTGGGGGGAACAGAGAGGAGGGGACGACGAGAGATTTGACTTGACTTTTAAAATTCCCACTTGAAGACAAGGAGACAGAGCGTTGAGATAAACGCATGACTGATTTTGTGTGGGATGAAAACGGAGAGCAGGGGGACAGGGCACGAGAAGTGGTGTGTGGGGATGAGTTGGCATGAAAGGTATTCGAGGGCATGAGAGGAAATGAAAGCAGCAAAACCTAAAGGCAGACGAGGAGATGAGACACTTCCAAGGGTACTCTGATGTTCACCATCTCAAGCTTACCATCTCAAGCTTGTCTTGCAAGGCTTTTCAGCAATCCCATGGAGGCTCAGCTGCAAACCCTTACCCAGTGAGTGAAGCGCTTCATGAGGGGGTAGGAGAAGACAAGGGGCAGTGACGCCGCTCCCAGCACTTGACTGCATGAGGGTGGATGGAAGGCACAGGTCACAGGGGACACAGGAGGGCGATGGAGGGAGTGGAATGGGCACGAGGCAGGTCACAGGGGACACGGACCAGCATTGAAGCACAAGGGGGTGACAGCACCCGCTGGCAGAGGGTGGGGTCAGGTTAGCAGCCAGCTTTGATGCCAAGCCAAGCACCTCAGTGACTTTTGAGGCGCCTCAAAAATACTGCAGCCCTTCGAATCATGAGTCAGGGTGACCCCTGGGGTCAGGTTAGCAGCCAGCTTTGATGCCAAGCCAAGCACCTCAGTGACTCATCCGCTCAACGACGGCTGGAAAAACAGCACAGCGACCCCCCCACTCACCTGAACGTGTTCAGCTGCACGAGAATCCCCAGCCCCAGCAGTAGCTGCAGCCCGAGGAAGGAGGTGGCACCCAAGGGGGTGACGGCACCGGAGGGCAGCGGGCGGGACCTAGTATAAGCCACTCCCGCTTCCTGCCACAACACCTCTCACTCACCTGAACGTGTTCAGCTGCACGAGAATCCCCAGCCCCAGCAGTAGCTGCAGCCCGAGGAAGGACGTTGCACCCAAGGGGGTGACGGCACCGGAGGGTAGCGGGCGGGAGCGCGTGCGAGCCACCTTGGCATCAAAGTCCCGATCCAGCAGGTCGTTGATGGTGCAGCCGGCTCCTCGGAGCAAGACGGCGCCTGACCCGAAGAGGAATAGAAGTGCTGGGTCGGGCAGAGAGCCTGTTGGAGCAGCCAGTGCAATTGACCTGTGGGAGCGGGGGGAATGGAGAGGAGGGGAGTAGAAGGTTGTTTCGACAGACCTTGTGAAGAGGAGGTTGGGGGAGGATGGGCCGGGAGAGAGCAGGGAGCAAGAGTAAAAGTCCCGATCCAGCAGGTCGTTGATGGTGCAGCCGGCCCCTCGGAGCAAGACGGCGCCTGACCCGAAGAGAAAGAGAAGGGTTGGGTCGGGTAGAGAGCCTGCTGGAGCGGCCAGTGCGATCGACCTGTAAGGGAGGGAGGAGGGGGGAGGGGTGAATGGATAGACCTCGTGTGGAGAGAGGGGGGGAAAGGATGGGCTGGGAGAGAGTGGCAAGCAGAAACAGTGGAAGTTGCACGCATTAAACGAGCAGGGCGGCAGGTCGTTGATGGTGCTGCCGGTGCCTCGGAGCAAGATGGTCCCTGACCCAACGAGAAAGAAAAGCGCTGGGTCGGGCAGAGAGCCTGCTGGAGCTGCAGAGGAGAGGGAAGGGGGGAAAGGGAGGGTGGATACCAGAAGCAGGGCCAGGCGAGGAGCCAGGTGCCGGTGGGCTTGTCCAGGCGGGCGAGGTGGGCGAATGGCTGCACTGCGGCCGGCAGGTAGCGCTCCACCCACGATATGCTCCCACTGCCGCTGCCACTGCCGCCGCCGCCGCCGCTGCTGCTGCTGCTGTTGTCGCTGCTGCTGGTGAGGCTGGTACTGCTGGTGCTACCATGGGTGCTACTTGTGCTGCTGGCATTGCTGTTGTTGCACTCGTTCCCTGCTGTGCGGCCATCACTGTTGCTGCTTTCGGTGGTGCTGCTGGCGAGTCTTGTAAGGCCAGGGGACAGCCCTCGCACCGTGCAAACTTCTGTTCTAACCGGGTGATACTGCGGAACAGAGACAAACGAGCCTGATTTAGGTAATTGTGCTGATCTAGTAGGTGTAAGTGCATTGATGGAAGTGTGGTGTTCTACCGCTCCTCTCTCGTCGTCCTCTTGTCTCCAGTGTATGTGCCTCGGCACGTACTGTGTGGGAGGAGACTGTAACGAAGGATGGAACCCAGCGAGTCTGAAGGGTGGATGCACGCGGAACGATTTCTGGGTCAGATTGATTGAATCTGGAAGAATCCGAACCGTGGAGACATAATCCGATGGTAGTTCAGGGATGCCTCTAACCAAAGGATCAGAATCTGACGACGATCCAGATGCAAGGGGGGGAGCGCTGTCGGACGAATCAGAGAGGAACGAACTTGGACGTAAGCCGTTAAAGATAGCGGACTGAACGGGCTCGCGATGCGAGCTGCTGACGTCAGCATCACCCAGGGTGGGACCGAAAATGTGCGATCTCAACGACGCGATCAGGCCGCCGCATTGTGACTGTAACGGGTCCTTCAATCGCCGAATCGACCTGCGCATCACCCCAGGTAGCGCCATACTCTAAGGATTACGTTAAAGTGACAGTTATGAAACACGACAGGAGGAACCAAGGGATACGCCTGGTTGATTAAAACTTGCTGGGAGGGGGGAAGAAAAGGCAGGCACTAGGCATCCAGCGGCGATGACGGCGTGTAGCGTATGATGATTATCGCTTGCCATGCCACTAGCTTCCATTTTGTGCAGTGGAAGTTTTGCTCGTAAGAGGGAAAGCCACGTGAAGATGGTCAAACACAGGGATGTGATTTTCGGGACTTGCGTGGTGGATCTCGTTTCAGTACGTTCAAGTACGAGCAGAACTGGTTCGGAAAGGTGGTGGTGAACAAAGCTGTGACGCAAAATGAAACATGCAACAATTGTTTTTATATGAGGAGTGGTAAAGCCTACCGTTAGTAGCGTGGCAAGCTTGTAACGGAATTGGGGATCTCGAAGGAACACGAAAATGAGTGGGAGTGTGGCGCCGCGAAAATCGTGGACTGACAGATAGGAGCTACACGATTTTAGCTCGGTAAAATCGAGGCAGCTAGAGAAACAACACTCTGGGAAACTCTGGTTTCTGCAGCCGTGTGGTTCCGTGTCCAGTCACACACGCTCAACTCTACCAAGCCTGTCACGCAGCAGCGCTCAAGTAGAGCAGTGGCATCCTAGCAGGTGTCCAGTGCAACCTGATTACTAATAATCCGTTTTCAGGAAGTCCTGGCACTACTGACTGATCGTCGTCAGAAGTCAATGCCGCTTCGTCGCCTTGTCCCCTAAGAGTGATGGCATAGGCGACCGGCTTGTACCTGTGCGAACCGAGAAACTGACGACAGGTTTTAGCGCTAACGACACTCGCTGTGAACGACAGTCTCTTGGGTACACAGGCATAGAAGATATTATTCCCGTCACGTAAAAAAAAAGAACTATGTACATGTATTCCCTTAGGTGGTTTATTCTTACGCGATGCATTGTCGTCGCAATAATCGCACCGAGCTTTTACTGTGGACCTGTTGCGTCGTCACCACCAGGTCGAGAAAACCCCCCTACTGGGCATCGAGCTTACGTTTCATCATTCGTACGATGCCTAAACGGCACGAGCAAGCCGACAGCCGTTGATAACGAGCAACACGTATCCATTTCCCGCCGGTTGAGTGCTTTAACTTCTGACACGAACTTAGAAGCTCCTAGAACATTGGGTGCAACTGCTGATGATGTTAGCTCGACGGATACTAACGCATATGTTGGAAATCCGTCTGTTCCATTTGCTCCTTCTAGTTCGTCCAACAGTGTGTCTAGTAACGAGCCGGCTTATAACGGTGATGCATCCAAGTCGAAATCCGTCAGTGGAGTCGGATCCAGGAAGGTATCTGAGAGTTCTCAAGAATCGCTCGTTAAGGAGCATGAGGTGACGATTGGATGCCTCGTCGCAACGGACGTCGCTGAAGGCATTCATATGCTCGCAGGTGGGTTGATTGTGCTGACTGGTCTGCCTGGGTTGGCTGAGGGTTCAGGAAGGCGAATTGACTGAGTAGACCGAGTTCAGAAAGGTGGGTTGTCTGGGTTGACTGAGGATGTGGGAAGGTTGGTTGACTCGGTTGACTGAGGGTTCGGGACGATGGGTTGACTGGTTTGACTGAGGGGTCCAGGAAATTCGGTGGACTGGGTTTACTGAGAGGTGCAGGACGGTGGGTGACTGGGTGATTGAGGTTCTAGGAAGGTGAGTCGACTGGCTGGGTTGCTTGTGAGGCAGAAGGAAAACTGTTTCTTTGTTTGTGTATCGTGTTTTCTCTTCTCCTTGCTGTGCCTCTGCTATGCGCGCGTGCCTACACATGTGTGTGCCTTGCATGTGGATGCGCATGGGCATAGTGCATGCACTGCATGTGTGTGTGTGCGTGCGTGTGTTCATGTATGCATGCATGCCTGCATGTGCATGTGCATGGTGCGTGCGTGGTGCATGCATGCGTCCATGTGATGTGAATACACTGCACGCCCACGCATGCAGGCAGTGTGATAGCAGTGGAGGCAATCAACAGCGACCCCTCTATCCTCCCACATCACCGTCTGCACCTTGCCACGGCCAACTACTCCATGACTGCTCCCATCGCCAGCATGATGGCCGGTGAGAGAGGGATGCGTGGATGCATGGTGGCAGTGGAGGCAATCAACAGCGACCCCTTTATCCTCCCACATCACCATCTGTGCCTTGCCACGGCCAGCTACTCCATGACTGCTCCCATCGCCAGCATGATGGCCGGTGAGAGAGGGATGCGTGGATGCATGGTGGCAGTGGAGGCAATCAACAGCGACCCCTTTATCCTCCCACATCACCATCTGTGCCTTGCCACGGCCAGCTACTCCATGACTGCTCCCATCGCCAGCATGATGGCCGGTGAGAGGCATGGTATGGCAGCATGATGCGAGGTGAGAGAGGCATGGCAGCATGCTGCCATAACCCTAAGTCTCACCACAGCCAACTACTCCATGGCTGCTCTCATCGGCAGCATGATGGTCGGCGAGAGAGGCGTGGATGCATGATGGCCGGTGAGAGGCATGACAACTACGACATGGCATCCTGGTGGTACTACAGCGTTAGTTGCCAGTGATCCTTCTTCCTTGCTCCTGTAACTCACACTTTCTCGTCGTAACATCGTTCCTCTCTTCCCCATCCTCCCTGCCCCCGTGTCCCTCCAAATACATTACCCCCACCCTTGGCTCCCCCCTTTCTGGTCAGCCTACAGCCTGGTGAGGCAGCGGCCAGTGGCAGTGATAGGGCCACACACATCAGAACAGGCAGCACTCGTAAGCCCCTTCGCCACGGCCACTCAAGTGCCCTTCGTGTCTGCCTCGGCCACCGACGCACAGCTCACAGTGGGCGGCACCAGGCCCTTCTTCATGCGCACCGTGCAGGACGACGGCCACCAGATGCGCGCCATTGCTGGTATGCTGCACTGCACTCTTGCTCTCCCATTTCTGCTGTAGCTTCCTGCACTGCCTTGTGTCTGCAGCTGTTGGTTACTACTGCACAGCTCACAGTAAGCAGCACCCCCCTCTCCCCCCCCCTTCCACCACCACCCACCTCCCTTCTTCTTATGCACTCGTTCCAATGCTCGTTGTCATCCCTTGCCATCTTTATTGCTGATGCCACACCCGTCCATCCACCCGTCCTTCCTTGCCCCAGAAACACCACCAACATTCTGGCAATATACCAGTGGAAAGCATTTACCGCCATTCACAGCGACGACCGGTACAGAGCTGGAGATCTCATAAACTTGCTACAGACTGTGGTTGACCCCCTGACCCTTCCTCCTCTATTCCCCCCCCAACACCACAGACATTCTGGCAATATACCAGTGGAGGGCATTTATTGCCATTCACAGCGACGACCGCTATGGAGGCAATGGCATCACCGCACTGGAAGCATGTGTGCTCAGCCTGAACGTGAGCATCATCATCCATTATCTTTCGAAAACTCTCAAAACTCAACCGAGTATGCCATATGCCGGAATGGACTCCCATCCCGCACCAGACTGTGCGCTGGAAGCATGCGTGCTCGCACTCAACGTGAGCATCATCATCCATTTCCTTTTGAAAACTCTCGAAAGGCAGCTCGTCAATCCAGTATAGCAGCCAATCCCATCTCCCGGCCGTTCCCTGCCCTGTCCCCCATCCCTGCCTTCCCTTTTGAGGCACCTCAATTCAAAAGGCAGCACGGCGCTGGAAGCATGCATGCATGCTTGCACCTGACGTGATCATCCAGCACTCCAACCCAGCCCTATCATGAGTCGTGTTGAAATCACCTTTGAGAATTCTCAAGAGCTGGAAGCATGCATGCATGCATGCTTGCGCCGACGTGAGCATCCAGCACTCCAACCCAGCCCTCTCTCCCTTCCAACTCTTCCGACTCCCCCACCTTCCACATAACCCTCCCCCCTTCCTGATCCCCAGCAAGGCATCAGCATGGCTCATCGCGTGGCCATCACTCCAGGGAGCACAGCAGCAGAGGTGGAGCAGCATCTGCAGCTTCTACTAGAGGTGGACACGGCTGTGTATGTGCTGCACGCGTCCGCTGCTGTTGCCACGAGCGTCATCCTGGCAGGTGCGTGTGGATTCATGTGAGTCGCTTAGAACTCACACAGTAGCAGCGCCTGCAGGAGCTGTTGGAGGTGGATATGGCTGTGGGCGTGTTTTGAGGCGCCTCAAAAGTCGCAGTAGCAGTGCCTGCAGGTGCTCTTGGAGGTGGATATGGCTGTGGGCGTGTTTCACGCATCCGCTGCTGTTGCCATGGCGGTTATGCTTGCTGGTGCGTTGAAGAGTGTGTGTATGTTAGCGAGGGAGGGAGCGAGTGAGGTACTTATTGGGAGAAAGTGTGAGTGAGTGAGGAAGAGGATTTTCATTGTTTCCCCACCTACCTTCCCTGCTGCCCCCACCTTCCTCCACTGCTGTCCGTCTTCCCCCCTGTCTGCCTGCCTGCCTCCTTCCATTGTATGTGTGTGCATGTGCAGCGAACAGGTTGGGTCTGTTCTCTGCCAACAACGTGTGGATTGCAACAGAAGGGAGTGCACTGCTCACTGGCTCTGCCCTGCACTACGCTCAGGTCTGCTGGTCTCATCCACGTTGGTTTTCCCACAAAATTTTTGGTCCTTTCGTTGGCCTACTGTCTGCTTTTGAGTCGACTAAAAACCGTCCCTCTCCACGTTTTTCCCACAGTGGTTTGGTCCTTTCGTTGGCCTACTGTTTGTTATTTCCCACACGTGTGGCCAGTCAGTTTGAATTTTATTAGCATAAGCTGTTCCCCAAGTTCGGTATTATGTTACCTTTTGATGTAACGGCTCTCTTCTCCACAATGCTCCCTTCGCCTACATTTCTTTCTCACTATGCTTCCCCCCTCGATCAATGACTCTCTGAATCACCCCCCCTGCCTTCTTCCCCAACTTTCCTTGCCACTAGTAGGGCATGATAGTGACGGCTACTGACATCCATTATTTTAGGCGCCTAAAGGCAGTGCCCTCCTCCTCCCCCGTTTCCTGGCAGGGCATGATAGTGACGGCTACTGACATCCCCACCTCCGCTCCTCTGACTACCTTCGTCTCAAAGTGGCTCAAACTTGACCCTGTGCGCTTCCCCAACGTCAGCCGCCAGGTGTGTGTGTGTGTGTGTGTGCGTGTGTGTGTGTGTGTGTGTGTGTGTGTCTGTGTGTGTGTGTGTCTGTGTGTGTGTGTGTGTGTGTCCCCATCTTCCTCCACCCCCTTTCTTTCATGCTGTTGCACATCGCTATGTTTTTCTCATCCCCAATGCTTCTCTCTTTCCCACCTTCCCCTGCTGCACCTTCCCCTGCTGCACCCTTCGGGCCTTCCCCCTGCTGCACCCTTCTCCCCATGCTCCAGATGCCTATGGCCTATGCACTGGCTTCCCACGATGCAGTCTACCTCATCGCTCACGCTCTACACTCGATCCTCTATAACAGCAGCCCCGCCAGCAGGAGCAACTCGCCATCTTCTAACACCGCTACCAACAACACAGAACCGCACAGCAACGTCACGGCTCTACTTGACTCACCCTGGCCACGCCTCCGTTTGACTCTCTCCAGCAGCAGCAGCAGCAGCAGCAGCAGCAGCAGCAGCAGCAGCAGCAGCAGCAGCAGCAGCGGCAGCAGCAGCAGCAGCAGCAGCATCAGTGGTGCTGAGCCAGATCTTATCCCTCCTCTAGCATCACTCCAAAGAAGCCCTTGTGAGAACTCTCTCTGTGCCCTTTGTTTGTGCCCACCTGCGCCGCAGCAGCAGCATCAGTGGTGCTGAGCCGGCCCTTATCCCTCCTCTAGCATCACTCCAAAGAAGCCCCTGTAAGAACTCTCGGCTCTTTCCCCTGCTCTCCCTTCCCTCCCCCACCCTACCCCTCCTCTCCCCCCCCCACCTCCCCCTTCCCTTCCCCTTTTGTGGCTTCTCCCTTCACATCCCCTCCACCTGCTAACAACTTGCTCTCTGTTACATGCTGTCGGGTTCCCCAACTCCTCCACAGCCTCCCCCTCCTTCCTCCCCTTCACCACCACCACCTCTCCCCTCACACCCACTTCTAGTTCCCATATGCAGTCTTTCATACCAGTATCCCAAGTTCACATACCCAGCTCTCCCCTCCCGACCCCCCCTCCCAATCCCCTCACTCCAGTGGGCCGCATGCATGTTGTGAGCAACCACGTTCGTGGGCGAAGCAAGCACCACCATCGTATAAGTCAACTCAATTCTCATCTTTTCTCCTCACAACAAACCCTTCCACTCCCCCAACTGCCCGACTCCAGTGGGCCCCTGGGCGCATCAGGCAGCATCGCGCTGTCCCCCTGGGGAGACCAGCAGAGCAACCTCACACGCATCCTCAACATCTACCACAGCCAAGCCTCATGCTCTCCCCTCCCAACCCTGCCTTCTAACCCCCTCACACTCCAGTGGCCGCCATGCTGCGAGCAGCCATGCTGCAAGCCACGTTCGAGGGCGCGTCAGACACCATCTTGCTGTCCCCCTGGGGATGGATTATAAGTCAACTCATAAATCATCTCCACTTACACCTAACCCCACCTCTCCCAACCCCTTACTCCAGTGGGCTCCTTGCTGCGAGCAGCCATGCTGAGAACTACGTTTGAGGGTGCATCAGGCACCATCTCGCTGTCCCTCTGGGGGTGGTTCTTGAGTCGCCTCACAAAGCATCTTACCCCAACAAACCCTTCCCGTCTCAAACCCCCCAACCCCCTGCAGTGGGCCCCATGCTGCGAGCAGCCATGCTGAGAACGACATTCGTTGGCGCATCAGGGACTATCTCTCTGTCCACCTGGGGCGACCAGCAGAACAACCTCACTCGCATCCTCAACATCCACAGCCAAGCCACTGACCAGTCACCTCAGTCAACTCAGTCAACAAAGTCAGCAGAGTCAACACCGTTCACTACGGATGCCGCTGGTTCAGTGACTGGGTTATTGAGCCTGCGAGGGAACGTGGAGGTGGTGCCTGTGGGGTACTGGTCTCCCTCGCGCCGCCTCTATCAAACAGCAGCTGCTTTGGTGAGCGCTCATGAGTGCAGCTACAGGAACTGCAACTGGATGCAGGAGTCTTTGGTGAACCGTGAATGCAGTGCGATCCGGAGGTGGTGTGCTTGTAAAAGGCTGTCCTTGTAAGCAGCAGCTGCTACATTTAGAGCTTGAGATGGAACGGAGGAACTGCGAATGGAGCAGGAGTGTTGGGTGAGTGCAGTGCAGTGCGGAGGTGGTGTGCCCGTGGGAGGCTGCTCTATCAAGCAGCATCTGCTTCATCTAGGGAACCTCAAACGGTCATGGTTTCATTAGCAGTTTGGGCAAGGTTTTTTTTAAATTTATTTTCAGAAGCCAACTGTACTGGACCCTGGCTGGAAGTAGTAGCGGTCATGGTGTGACGGCGGTTGGAGAGGAGCCGGTGCGACGGCAGCTGAAGAGGGGTCGGTGTGACGGCAGGCAGTGTGACTGGCTGGAAGTAGTAACGGTCACGGTGGTTGCTTGCTGCGTGTCCTTGAGATGAGATGGTCTGGTGCATGTGTTCTGTGAGGCGGCGCAATGCACAATTCCACTAAACTCGGCTGCTGTGTTGTGCATTGCTCTCAATCTAGTCTCCCTTGTCCTGTGTTGCTCGCTTGCTAGGCCTATTCAGCCCCCCTTGTTTTTCTTGTGTTTCGGTCACACTGCAGGAAAATGCAACAGCTAGTGGAGGGGAATCGGTCAAGATTATCTTCCCTGGTGGTCTGACACAGGTGCAGGCTCAGCTGTTGAATGCACAGCACCGCACTGCACAGCACTGTGGTGCATATCTCCCTGTCGGTGTACCTCATATTGAAACCCGTCATGTAGCTTATCCGTTGCTTTATTGTTCTCCATGAGATTTTTGAAACATCCCTTTGCCTTCTGTCTTCACAGCTAGCAGCTTATCTTTGCATTCAATACACAACTCATGGCACAGTACTTGCTCCGCTCGAAGCCATGGAAGGCGCTTCAAGCGTACCATGCGTATGAAGAAGTGTTTTGAGATGTCTCAAAACACTTCTTCATACATTCAGTACACAACTCATTGCACGGTACTTGCTCCGCTCTGTGTCATCATGGAACGAGCTTCAAGCTGACCATGTGCTCACTCTATGTCTTGGGTGGTTTTGATTCCACTTCATCCATTCATCATCATTTCGAGTCTCGTACCCATTCTCAGCTTTCGAAAGATCCCTTTCATAGGCTTTTGTTTCACTCATTTAAACATAATTTGAACCCCCTCTTCTCTTGCATTTCCCAGGCTCCCACAGGAGCCTTTCCGAAACGGCGAGTTCGTATCGCGGTACCAAAGAAGCTGGTAAGTAAGGTCTGCTCTTTGTTGCAGCATCCTGTAGGTGGGTATCGTTCCATTCTGCTTGGCTTGGCTTGGCTTGGCCTTTCCGACTCCCTCCGTTCTCCGTGCACGTGTTTCCTAATACCACCTCCCCAGATCCACCTGCAATTCGTCAATATCTCTGCAGACAAGTCGCTGCGCAGCGTGCGTTTTTTGAGCTTCCTCAAAATCTTTCGGTGCATGTGCCCCTTGATGCCTCCTCCCCCAGATCTACCTGCAGACGAGTCGCAGTTCTCGGGCTACCGTGTGGACCTGTTCCGCCTGGCCGTGGCGCGAAATCACTCCAACTCACCAATGTCTCTGCAGGAGAATAGAATCAGCAGCGCCTGGGTTTCTAGACGCCTCAATTTCTGAGTCGACTCAAAACCCGAAATCTATCTCCAACTCACCAATGTCTCTGCAGGAGAATAGAATCAGCAGCGCCTGGGTTTCTAGACGCCTCAATTTCTGAGTCGACTCAAAACCCGAAATCTATCTCCAACTCACCAATGTCTCTGCAGGAGAATAGAATCAGCAGCGCCTGGGTTTCTAGACGCCTCAATCTCCCTCTGTGCCTGTCTCCCCTGATACCCCCTCCCCCAGATCTACCTGCAGTTCGCCGATTTCTCAGGGGACGAGTCGCTGGCAACGCATGGTTGTTGAGGAACCTCATGAATTCTCTGTTCCTTTGCCCCCTGATACCTCCTCCCCCAGATCTACCTCCAATTCGCCAATATCTCAGCGGACGAGTCGCTGGGCAACGAGCGCTTCTCCGGGTACTGTGTGGACCTGTTCCGCCTGGCTGTGGCCCATCTCCCTTATAAGCTCGACTACGAGTTTGTAGAGTACACGGGTGCCCTCATCAGCTACACCCAGATGGTGCAGGCTGTACAGAATAAGGTGAGGTTATTATGTGTTGCAGAGTGGGATGCAGCGAGGAGGACAGAGAGGAGTGCAGAGGGGAAGGCACGAGAGTGAATCACAATTCTACTCTATCCTATCGTCGCTCCACTCCTCTCATCCTATCGTCTCTCACTGCACTTCTCGTGTACTTCCCGTCCGTTTGCTGCTCGCTAAGAATTATGCCACAAGACCAGATCACTCCACTCCTCTCATCCTATCACCTCTCACTGCACTACTCGTCCCACTGCCCGTCCCCAACCCTCACCCCATTGGCTGACCACCAGAGCAAATCGTATCCCAATTCAACACGTAATGCCTTCCTTCCTGCACCTCTCATGTAATCGTCTCTCATCTCACCGCCCGGCACACAGGAGTTTGACGGGGCAGTGGGCGACATCACAGTGGTTGATTCGCGGCAACGAATGGTCTACTTCACCCAATCCATCCTTGTATGTGCGTGTGCCTCGAATGTGCTTGGGTCGACTCAAAAGGCATCGTTGTATTTTCATGCGCAATATAGTGAGCACGAGAGGAAGGGGAGGGGGAGAGGGAGAGCGCCGTTCTAGGCTGGTTTTCCAGTCAGCTCCTCAAACTAATTCACTCAATCCATCCCCGCTTGTATGTGCCCTCTTATTCTAGTCAATGCAAGCAATTACTGTTGATTCAGCTCATATCTATCCTCGTTACCTCGTATGTGCCTGTATAATTCAAGTGAGTACAAGAGACGGCTTTTGGATCTCCAAATCACCCTTTCCGCGGTGCGGTCTGAGCCACTTGTATTGCACAACAATACTCTATGCAAAGGAGAGCAGCCTCCTGTCTTTGGTTTTGGATATTCTCACATACACACATCCCCCCACTCCCTAAACCTCTTTCCTCGCAGCAATCCGGCCTGAGTCTGATAGGGTACTCGCGGGAGAGCAGCGACATGTGGACTGCGTTTCTGCCCTTCACGCCCTCCATGTGGGCCACCCTGCTCGGTCTCTCGCTGCTCACAGGCGCGCTCATGGTGTTCCTCGAGTGGCGCCTCAACGTGCACTTCCAGGCAAAGCTGCATCAGCTCGCCATCACTGCTGCATGGTGAGAGCAGGGGTGCAGTGCAGTGAGTTGAGGGCCTTGGGCTCTTAGTGTGCGCTGTGCTGGTGGATCTCCCCTCCTTCTCTCTGCTCACAGAACCACTCATGGTGTTCCTCGAGTGGCAGCTGAACGTGCACTTCCAGGCAAAGCTGCACCAGCTCGCCATCACTGCCGCATGGTGAGAGGGGATGCGGTGAGGTGGAGTGAGGTGGATCTCCCCTCCCTCTCTCTGCTCACAGGCGCGCTCATGGTGTCTCTCGAGTGGGGGCTGAACCAGGCGTAGCTGCATTTCCAGGCGTAGCTGCACTTCCAGGCGTAGCTGCATTTCCAGGCGTAGCCGCACTTCCAGGCGTAGCTGCACTTCCAGGCGTAGCTGCATTTCCAGGCGTAGCTGCACTTCCAGGTGTAGCTGCACCACTCCCGTTGATAGCTGCACCACTCCCGTTGATAGCTGCACCACTCCCGTTGATAGCTGCACCACTCCCGTTGATAACTGCACCACTCCCGTTGATAGCTGCACCACTCCCGTTGATAACTGCACCACTCCCGTTGATAACTGCACCACTCCCGTTGATAGCTGCGAATGTTCCTCTGCGTGCGCACACACTCCATTTGTCCCATCTCATCTGCAAGGACGGATGATGCTGCTGCCTGCATGACTCATCCTTGCTACACACACACGCACACATTCTCGCTGCTGTCATTGCTCACATCTGCTTGCTGCTTCTTGTGTATCCCTTCGGTCCTGTGGCAGGTTTGGCCTTCACACTCTCTACTCCGTTATAGGTAGGGCCTTTTGCCCTGCAGGTTTGCCTTGAGAACTTGCCTTAAGTAAAGGAAAGAAATTCACATTCTCCACTTGATTAATGCAGGCTCGTCGTGGTGGCGTTTTTATTTACCAAATACCCCTGACCCTGATATGCGGGCAGGCCTCACCTTCTCTGTTCCGTTTGACAAAGGAGCCTTTCTATGTGGTGACTTTTTTTGTCGACTCGCGGGCCTGTCTGCTGCCTTTTTCTCCTCCGAACTCCCACCCACGTCTTGGTCATGTCTCTCTCTCTCTCTTACATCCTATCATCATGTGTGCTGTGCAGTGTGCTCACATTGCCTAAAATCACATTTTCATCTTCTCTTTCCGTATTTCACAACCTGTCATGCCCCACTGTGTGCAGTCTACTCGATTCGCTCTGTGCTAGCACGAACGGTGCTGGGCATGTGGCTCATTCTCGCATTCCTATTCCTCGCCTCCTACACCTCCAACCTCACTGCCATTCTCACCATTCAGAGGCTCACGCCCACCATTCTCGTAAGCTCCCCTTCCTACACCTCCCTCCCCCCCAACCCTCCCCACCCCATCACCCCCCCTCCCTGTGCTGTGCTGTGATTTCTCTCTTCGTTCTATGCCTCTCCGTTTTTCGCCCTTCGCCCTTCGCACTACCTCCATCCCTTCGCCCCTCGCCCTCCCTGCCTTTACCACCTCTCCCCCACCTCTTCCTCCTCTTGCCACTCCCCCACGCCCCATCAGGACATCACCACAGCCATCAACAGCAACGCCGCCATTGGCTACCAGCAGGCCTCCTTCGTTGCTTCCTACCTGCAGCAGCTGGGGGTCTCTCCGGTATTGCAGACTTGTTTGTTGTACCTTACCTTGTGTGGATCCGGTGCTGCTGCATGCTTCTGGTGCTGCTGCATGCTTCTGGTGCTGCTTCATGCTCGTAGCTTGTCGCGTTGCTGCTGCATGAAACGAAATCTCTACCTCCTCCCTGTGAACCTTCTTTGCTTCCTTCCTACCTGCTGCACCTGGGAGTCTCTCCGGTATAGCATATTTGTTCTACCATGTGGATCTGGTGCTGCTGCATGCTTGGAGATTGTCGTGTTAATATTTCATGCATGCGACAAATACCTCTCTCTTCTGAACCTTTTCGTCTCCTCCTGCCTGCTGCTGCCATGGGTCTCTTCAGTCTCGCATGCTCATGCCTTGCGGTTCTTCGTCTGCACATCTTTAGCCTTTGCGCTGCATGTGGCATGGCTTTGCTGCTGCGTGGTCATGGCTTTCGAGGCGCCTCAAAAGTCGCTGCATGTGGCGTGGCTTTGCTGCTGCGTGGTCATGGCTTTCGAGGCGCCTCAAAAGTCGCTGCATGTGGCGTGGCTTTGCTGCTGCGTGGTCATGGCTTTCGAGGCGCCTCAAAAGTCGCTGCATGTGGCGTGGCTTTGCTGCTGCGTGGTCATGGCTTTCGAGGCGCCTCAAAAGTCGCTGCATGTGGCGTGGCTTTGCTGCTGCGTGGTCATGGCTTTCGAGGCGCCTCAAAAGTCGCTGCATGTGGCGTGGCTTTGCTGCTGCGTGGTCATGGCTTTCGAGGCGCCTCAAAAGTCGCTGCATGTGGCGTGGCTTTGCTGCTGCGTGGTCATGGCTTTCGAGGCGCCTCAAAAGTCGCTGCATGTGGCGTGGCTTTGCTGCTGCGTGGTCATGGCTTTCGAGGCGCCTCAAAAGTCGCTGCATGTGGCGTGGCTTTGCTGCTGCGTGGTCATGGCTTTCGAGGCGCCTCAAAAGTCGCTGCATGTGGCGTGGCTTTGCTGCTGCGTGGTCATGGCTTTCGAGGCGCCTCAAAAGTCGCTGCATGTGGCGTGGCTTTGCTGCTGCGTGGTCATGGCTATCGAGGCGCCTCAAAAGTCGCTGCATGTGGCGTGGCTTTGCTGCTGCGGGGTCATGGCTATCGAGGCGCCTCAAAAGTCGCTGCATGTGGCGTGGCTTTGCTGCTGCGGGGTCATGGCTATCGAGGCGCCTCAAAAGTCGCTGCATGTGGCGTGGCTTTGCTGCTGCGTGGTCATGGCTTTCGAGGTGCCTCAAAAGTCGCTGCATGTGGCGTGGCTTTGCTGCTGCGTGGTCATGGCTTTCGAGGCGCCTCAAAAGTCGCTGCATGTGGCGTGGCTTTGCTGCTGCGTGGCCATGGCTATCGAGGCGCCTCAAAAGTCGCTGCATGTGGCGTGGCTTTGCTGCTGCGGGGTCATGGCTATCGAGGCGCCTCAAAAGTCGCTGCATGTGGCGTGGCTTTGCTGCTGCGTGGTCATGGCTTTCGAGGCGCCTCAAAAGTCGCTGCATGTGGCATGGCTTTGCTGCTGCGTGGTCATGGCTTTCGAGGCGCCTCAAAAGTCGCTGCATGTGGCGTGGCTTTGCTGCTGCGTGGTCATGGCTTTCGAGGCGCCTCAAAAGTCGCTGCATGTGGCGTGGCTTTGCTGCTGCGTGGTCATGGCTTTCGAGGCGCCTCAAAAGTCGCTGCATGTAGCGTGGCTTTGCTGCTGCGTGGTCATGGCTTTCGAGGCGCCTCAAAAGTCGCTGCATGTGGCGTGGCTTTGCTGCTGCGTGGTCATGGCTTTCGAGGCGCCTCAAAAGTCGCTGCATGTGGCGTGGCTTTGCTGCTGCGTGGTCATGGCTTTCGAGGCGCCTCAAAAGTCGCTGCATGTGGCGTGGCTTTGCTGCTGCGTGGTCATGGCTTTCGAGGCGCCTCAAAAGTCGCTGCATGTGGCGTGGCTTTGCTGCTGCGTGGTCATGGCTTTCGAGGCGCCTCAAAAGTCGCTGCATGTGGCGTGGCTTTGCTGCTGCGTGGTCATGGCTTTCGAGGCGCCTCAAAAGTCGCTGCATGTGGCGTGGCTTTGCTGCTGCGTGGTCATGGCTTTCGAGGCGCCTCAAAAGTCGCTGCATGTGGTGTGGCTTTGCTGCTGCATGGTCATGGCTTTCGAGGCGCCTCAAAAGTCGCTGCATGTGGTGTGGCTTTGCTGCTGCATGGTCATGGCTTTCGAGGCGGCTCAAAAGTCGCTGCATGTGGCGTGGCTTTGCTGCTGTGGTCATGGCTTTCGAGGCGCCTCAAAAGTCGCTGCATGTGGCGTGGCTTTGCTGCTGCGGGGTCATGGCTATCGAGGCGCCTCAAAAGTCGCTGCATGTGGCGTGGCTTTGCTGCTGCGTGGTCATGGCTTTCGAGGCGCCTCAAAAGTCGCTGCATGTGGCGTGGCTTTGCTGCTGCGTGGTCATGGCTTTCGAGGCGCCTCAAAAGTCGCTGCATGTGGCGTGGCTTTGCTGCTGCGTGGTCATGGCTTTCGAGGCGCCTCAAAAGTCGCTGCATGTGGCGTGGCTTTGCTGCTGCGTGGTCATGGCTTTCGAGGCGCCTCAAAAGTCGCTGCATGTGGCGTGGCTTTGCTGCTGCGTGGTCATGGCTATCGAGGCGCCTCAAAAGTCGCTGCATGTGGCGTGGCTTTGCTGCTGCGGGGTCATGGCTATCGAGGCGCCTCAAAAGTCGCTGCATGTGGCGTGGCTTTGCTGCTGCGGGGTCATGGCTTTCGAGGCACCTCAAAAGTCGCTGCATGTGGCGTGGCTTTGCTGCTGCGGGGTCATGGCTTTCGAGGCGCCTCAAAAGTCGCTGCATGTGGCGTGGCTTTGCTGCTGCGTGGTCATGGCTTTCGAGGTGCCTCAAAAGTCGCTGCATGTGGCGTGGCTTTGCTGCTGCATGGTCATGGCTTTCGAGGCGCCTCAAAAGTCGCTGCATGTGGCGTGGCTTTGCTGCTGCGTGGTCATGGCTTTCGAGGCGCCTCAAAAGTCGCTGCATGTGGCGTGGCTTTGCTGCTGCGTGGTCATGGCTTTCGAGGCGCCTCAAAAGTCGCTGCATGTGGCGTGGCTTTGCTGCTGCGTGGTCATGGCTTTCGAGGCGCCTCAAAAGTCGCTGCATGTGGCGTGGCTTTGCTGCTGCGTGGTCATGGCTTTCGAGGCGCCTCAAAAGTCGCTGCATGTGGCGTGGCTTTGCTGCTGCGTGGTCATGGCTATCGAGGCGCCTCAAAAGTCGCTGCATGTGGCGTGGCTTTGCTGCTGCGTGGTCATGGCTTTCGAGGCGCCTCAAAAGTCGCTGCATGTGGCGTGGCTTTGCTGCTGCGTGGTCATGGCTATCGAGGCGCCTCAAAAGTCGCTGCATGTGGCGTGGCTTTGCTGCTGCGGGGTCATGGCTATCGAGGTGCCTCAAAAGTCGCTGCATGTGGCGTGGCTTTGCTGCTGCGGGGTCATGGCTATCGAGGCGCCTCAAAAGTCACTGCATGTGGCGTGGCTTTGCTGCTGCGTGGTCATGGCTTTCGAGGCGCCTCAAAAGTCGCTGCATGTGGCGTGGCTTTGCTGCTGCGTGGTCATGGCTTTCGAGGCGCCTCAAAAGTCGCTGCATGTGGCGTGGCTTTGCTGCTGCGTGGTCATGGCTATCGAGGCGCCTCAAAAGTCGCTGCATGTGGCGTGGCTTTGCTGCTGCGGGGTCATGGCTTTCGAGGCACCTCAAAAGTCGCTGCATGTGGCGTGGCTTTGCTGCTGCGGGGTCATGGCTTTCGAGGCGCCTCAAAAGTCGCTGCATGTGGCGTGGCTTTGCTGCTGCGTGGTCATGGCTTTCGAGGTGCCTCAAAAGTCGCTGCATGTGGCGTGGCTTTGCTGCTGCGTGGTCATGGCTTTCGAGGCGCCTCAAAAGTCGCTGCATGTGGCGTGGCTTTGCTGCTGCGTGGTCATGGCTTTCGAGGCGCCTCAAAAGTCGCTGCATGTGGCGTGGCTTTGCTGCTGCGTGGTCATGGCTTTCGAGGCGCCTCAAAAGTCGCTGCATGTGGCGTG